CGTGGGACTGAGTTCATACATGACTCTATATCTTTGTGTTTGTTGTATTCATGGGTATTATTAATTAATTTTAGTTACTTCAGGTCTAGCTGATAAGGCACCAGCTAGTCAGGATAGTCGGTGGGCAGGATCATTTTAGCATATAGCCGTTCTGAAATCTAGCAACCCAAATCGACATGTCTATCCTTGGTACCACTCCTGTAAGTAGTCCTTCAGTAGAATAATTAATAATACTTTTTATTACAGGCTAAGGGATATATCTAAACTTTAACAGAGTAAGCCCTAAACTATAGTCGTGCTTTCCTAAGAAAGTACTAATTCACTATAGTTAATAGCTCTGATACCAATCTGTCACACCCCAGCCATCGGCGGAAAAACCGGGCAGTGTAATGTCATTTCTCGTATCATAGTTATCAACTTCTTGAAAAACATGCAATTTAAAATACGTCAACATAAAATTGGTGAGTCCACAGGTTTTGACTCCATATAAAAATAATACATTTTTCCAAGTTTCAAAAGTATAGTTTTGAAAGTATAATTTTGACTCTCCAACATTTACTATATATATCCTAGGTATAAAAGTTTACTTACCAAATAAGTATATACCTATAAGTCTCATATACTATGAATATAAGTGTTTGTAATTCCATACAAATGAGAGTTTCTACGTATAAATCTTATTTCAATTCTATACAAGTAAAACCACTACGTATAAATATATTTCAATTCTATACGAATTAAAATGCTACGTATAAATCTTATTTCAGTTCTATACAAGTAAAACCACTACGTATAAATCTATTTCAATTCTTTACGAGTAAAAATGCTAGGTATAAATCTATTTCAATTCTATACGAGTAAAACCGCTACGTATAAATCGATTTCAATTCTATACGAGTAAAACCGCTACGTATAAATCGATTTCAATTCTATACGAGTATGTGTGTTAGGTATAATTATCTACTCAATATACAAGTAGTACCTAGGGTATAAGTAGGGGAAACTTATACTTAACATTAATACTTGTATAACGACAAAGTATAATGCTTCTAACAACTTGCTACCATGAGTGCGTAACCACTGCTTGATAAAAAACCTCTAACAAAACAATACACTCATGAGTTACCATGAGAAACAACACCGTACGCTTCACCGATGCCGGAATAAAAATAAAAGGAATGAATCATCACTTGCTTGTCTTCGGTTGTAATTAACAACCACGAGTGGGGTCGTTAACCCGTATCTTATTCATACACGACTTCCTCGCTCACACGAGATTAACGGTTACAGGTAGAGGACTTCCACTAAGATCCCCAATCTTAGTTGATGAATGAGGTAGCTCATGTAGACTTTGACGGCTTCCTATAGCTCTAACAACAAAAGCATTTTCATGTCTGAAACCCTAAGTCACTAGACTATGCTTTTAAACATTAGTCCTAACTTCATAACATTTAGGCAATATAACAGTTATAACTTGAAGTAAAAACCAGGTTTTATCTTGACCTAAAACCAATAATAAGAACATATAACGTTTCTAGTTTTATCTTGACATAAAACTAACAATAACAACATATCAAGTTTTATCTTGACATAAAACTAATAATAACAACATATAACATATCTAATTTTATCTTGACATTAAACTAATAATAACAACATATAACATATCTAGTTTTATCTTTACATAAAACTATTAATTGCAACATACTATATAAGTTAACATATTAAACTTCCGAATATAACTTCGGAACTATATCGCACACAAAGTATATATAGAATCCTAAGTATAACTCAAGATCTACATTAATGTATTACTATAACAATAACATGTTAACAATGTTACGATAGTTGTATATTTTCAGATACGAAATAACTATATCCCGGTTATTATAACTATCTACGTTGATACTGATATACTATCATATAGACATAATAATAACGTATATATAATATTTAGCATGCGTTTTCCCCCGAAAATATTAGAAAGTGGGGTCGTGAATCTTACCTTAGTAGTGTGTTTATAGAATTTAAGCGTTCAGAGGCTCGTCGTAGTCAATCTCGGGAAGGGAAAACGGCCTTCGGAAACGAGAGAGAATGAAAGAAATGGTGTATTAAGCCTTGGGGTCGAAATGGTTATTTATAGTAAGATTTTATGACACTCACGTCATCAGTGTCATAAGGCTCACGTCGTGAGTCTCATGATTCACTCCGTAGACTTTCCATTTGCGTCCCTAGCTTCGAATGGTGGCCATGACACCTAACGTCGTGAGTGTCATAAAGCTCACGTCGTGAATTGGATCTTATCCTCCCGTAGCTTCTGGATTCTGACTTATGACAGAATTTGGTGATTGTCATAAAACTCACGTCGTGAATAGCTAGTTTAGGGTTTTTAAAAGCTAAATCTTCGGAATGGCATAACTTTTGCATCCGAACTCCGTTTTTGACGTTCTTTATATGCACGCGTAGGTACTTAAGAGTAATACAACTAGTTTTTAGACTTAAATAGTTAGTTCTAAGTCTATTTTAATTTCCTCTTATTATAGAGATTTATAGTGTTCGGTTTATCATAACTTCTTCATGCGAAGTCAGATTTAGATGTTCTCTATATTTTTTGAATCGTATGGACGTATACTTTGAGTTGTATCATAAAATATGTATGAAAGTTCATATTTTAACATTAATTATATAGTAAGTTTATCACATTACTAGTTTAACGAAATAACATTACATGATTGGCATAATCACATGTGATTGTTATTGACCTAATTTTGACGAGTGTTACACCATGACATCTTATTACCATTATTTAGTCTGAATGCTTTTGTATGTTTCCCACAATGTGGACAAGCTAGCTTACCTACTGTAGACCATCCTAACAACATTGCATACACTGGAAAATCGCTTATTGTCCACATCAAAGCTACTCGTAAATGGAAACATTGTTTTAAAGATATATCATATTTTACTATGCCTTCTTCCCATAACTACTCCAACCCTACAACAATTGGTTGCAAAAATACATCTATTTTATGCTTAGGGTTTGACGATCCTGATACAAGTGCAGTAAATAACTTGTAAGGCTCTTTGATGCACATAGAAGGTGGAAAACTATAAGGTTTTATAATATTAGGCTAAGATGAATATTGTTTTCCAAATGCTCCATGTGGTGCAAACCCATCTGTACTTAGGCCTAATCTAACATTTCGTATTTCTACTGCAAATAAATGATGAAATTTGTCAAAGTGATTCCAAGCTTCTGAATCGGATGGATGACACATTACTCTAGCATCATGTCCATGATTCTCGAAGTGCCATCGCATGGAAGTAGTTGTGGCTTGTGAAACATACAGTGTCTTCAACATTGGAGTCAAAGGAAAGTAATGCATTTTCTTAAAGGATATGCGAGAACATCTGGCCAAATTTTTTGACCGTTTATACCTATCTGCATTGCAGAATTTGCACTGATAAAGATCGTTGTCTCACCTCCAATATATCATACATCCATACCTGCCGTAGTCAATCATCTTCATAGGAAATCTAGTGCTTGTATTAACTTTTTTCTCTCATATAAACTACCTACCATATTATTCTCCTCGGGTAACACATCATTTATCAATTGTCAGATAGCATCATAACTGTCCTCAGGTATGCGCTACTCTGATTTTATATTCAATAGTCTAGCTACAACAGACAGTTGTGTGACTTTTTTACATCTAGGCCATAATTCTTTATCGGTTGCCTCTAGCATATCAAATACTTTTTTATCTAGTGCATTTGGCTCCTCCTCAGAATTAATAGTATCTAAATCTGGAGCCATTGCATCTATGACCATTTCTCTATAAGAACATTCACCTTCATTCAAGTTTGTGTTTGAATCATCCACCCCTAAAAACGTATTGTCATCATCATTGGATGTTTCACCATGTTTATTGCAAAACCAATATTCCTCAACGAAACCTCACTTGTACAAATGATGCTTAACAGTATCAATGTCTCTATATGGTATGTTACGACATTTGATGCATGGGCATTTGATTTTATCTTAATTCGTGAACATATGTTGACTGGTAGCAAAATCTATGAATTTTTTTCACTCCTTGTATGAAAACATGTGATACACAACTACGATTATCTTTTCTTTCATACATCTAGTTTCTATTTGTATTGTTCATGGTGTAAATTATACATTTAAATAACATAATATTATATGTTCATTAATGTTTCTTTGAATTAATAGATGAGATTTAAAGTAAATATATATGTAGAATATAAATATTGCAAAGGTACCTTAACAACAACTCGTTTCACAAAGCTAATGACCGAATGTTGAACCAAGATTCAAAGTTTTCTAATTTGAATGCTTGAATCACTTTGATAAGTTGATAATGGTTTAGAAAATTTCTAGAATGGTTTAATTGAGTTTGAGAATTGCAGAACACATATTCAAAGAAAGCGTGTTTGAGGGAACCTTCGACAACCGTTGATTTCGATGTGTTGGATGGATACTAAGTCAAATTACTCGGTCGATATTATTCAATACTAGGTTAAAACCCATGTAGTATACGGCTAATTATAAATTTAAATAACATTCATAATAAATATAGATATAGAGCTAATTAAATTATATATTCTACATAGATTATTTTCCTTAGTAACGATTTGATTACAAACTTATTTTTAATTCCATTAACTATACTTCATTACCAAAGAAAGATTAAAACCAACACAAACACCATAGCAAGCAAAAATGACTAAAATACCCTTTTACCAGATAATAACAACATAAAACAAAATAAAATTATGTACAACTACATATACAATACAATATAAACACTAATACTGAAAGTCCAATATTATCAACCATTTATATTTTTAAGAAATATAGAAAACCTACCATACTCTACATACCAACGACCAACCATGAAATATCTTTGTGGATCCTCATCATCTTCATGGCCTATCGCAAATGCCCCTTTCACAGAATGATGTGGCTTTTCACATTAGAATGTGATGTTATTCATTGTAAGTATATGAACAACATCAACAGTCTGTAACAACTCTTTGGCACTATCAACAACACCAGTGTACTCCCTATTATCCGAAACTACCTAGACAAAATAGGGATCAAGTAATTCTAAACCTACACATTAAAATAACTATCAATTAATCCAATGTATCCATTTCAACACAATGTTAAATATTATACAACACAACACAACTAATACTAACCCCCAAACTACAAAATGCATTAATTAACTATATACAAAATTTAATGTACATATATACCATAAATACCTTGATCACACTGAGGAGGTCCTCTTGAAATGTAGATAATTCCAAGCAAATAAATTGCCTCAAGATAATGTTCATCTGCTGGTTGTCTTAACAAAGCCATTCCTACATTAAAATTGTCATTAGAAAATCACTCATCCTGTTGACAGAATAACAATATCATTAACGTCAATAATAATATTAATAAATGGAATAGATTGCATATAATTACTGAAATTACACATATCATTCCTTGTCTGAACATAGCTTCAATGTTATTATGCAATGCACATGTACGAATAAATAAATCAACATTCAAATATTTGGGACCCATTCCATCAATTATCACTACTAGGAAAACAACATTTTACGACGGTCATTAGGTGTCATAAAAGGCTCAGACGACGCACAAATGCGCGTCAAGGAAGACCCTGTGATAAAGGGAGATGGCGCGCATTTACGACGCTCATTTACGACTCGCATTTACGATGCGTGTTTACGACACGCAATGCGTATCAAGGAAGGCCCTGTCATAAAGTAAGACGACACGCATTTGCATGTCGTAACCTTACGACACGCGTGTTAATGACACGTAATGCGTATCAAGAAAGGCCATGTCATAAATGAAGATGACACACATTTTAGCGTATCATAATTTAAAATTTTTTTAAAAAGATAATATTTATGGATTTACTAATTTTCAAATTAAATTTGTATTTAATGTCTCTTAATAGAAAATAAAATATCATATACAAAAAATACAATCCATTGCATAAAATTTAACGCCATACAAATAATCGTTCCATGTAAAGATAAAACAAATCAATAGTTGTAACAAAAATTTATAAACTAATTAGATACAAGAAATATCAAAAAATATACCTTCAAATGCTTTTCAAGGTCTAATCTCCATGTCAGCTCTTCAACTCACTTCTCCATCTTCAACTCACTTCTCCAGTTTGTTCTTAGGTTCTCTAAGGTCTCCAGCATCTCTTGCAGTTTCAAAGGCAGAAAGAAGAACAGAACGTGATATTATTTTTCCATTGGAAAGCTATGTTAACTTTTTTTTTTTTAAATGTAGAAAAAGAATCTGCTTCTCTAAAATATTATCCAACAACAATGCTAAAATGTGTTTAAAAGTTACATGCAAAAAAGAGAACCTGTTCTGTGACAAATCTATTAACAGGCCTAGAAAGAATTGCACGTGACTTTTTACCCCTTTCAGATTGTGTAGCTTTTTCAAACTCAACTCCATCCTACAAAATACAACATCAATCAATAAAAATATATAAGTAAACATGCAAAACCACAAAACTTACAATAAAACATAATATTATAGCTATTAACAATATATTAACGACACCTTTTGCCTTGACACTATTGTTGCAAGCTTAGAAGATTTCACTTACTGCAAGGTAACCTCCACAACTTTACTCCCACACACAAAAGTCAGGTGTGATGTGTTTATGTAATCCATCTACCTAAAAAAGCAATATTTTCAGCCATGTCATGATAAAAATAAAAAATAGAGATAATAATACGTACCTCCATTTCAACTATGTGCCCAATCATGGTTTCAGAAGGCTGAAGACCATCACTTAAAAAATTCCCTATGACATCATCCATTCTCTTTCTGAGAACAAGAAATCTCTGTAACTCATTCACCATACATCGATGGCCCATCTAAAACATGAACAAATCAGTCAGCTCAGTGTCCAATTATATGAATCTTGCACATTGAAGGCTTAGATCTAGTAAACAAGGAATCTGTCGTCTAATTAGAACTTCAAATGGAACCTGTGTAACAAAATATTAAGTTATAAAAAGTATGTAGATGTGACTTGTGAGTGAGGGGTTATAAAAATAAGACCTACTTCAGGTACAAACAATGCAGATCTAGGGCCTGTTGCATTTTGTGTGGCAGTTCTGATGTCATCATCAGTAAAGTCCTCACAAGGGTCAACTTCCTACAACAGTAACTCGATTGATTAAATATATTTATTGCAAACTAAGGGATTTGGGCGTTAAATATTAATAGGTGAAAATGGGTATTCTTGGTCCTCCTGACATCTCTCCTGTGTGTATGGAAAAAAACATGTGATTAACAGCAAAACATGTACAACTCCTCACAACAACATGCACTTCTTTTTATGACTTTTCCAACTGTCATTATGTTAAGAATCACTTGTGCAGATGTCCTTTCTGTTCTAACTATTTCCAGTAGTGGCATCACATGAGCTGGATTGTAATCATTTCATTTAATAAAATAAAAAAAGAAATTATTAGTTGAAAATGTTAAATAATCTTAAGATAAAGATGTGGATTATTTTGTTTAACCTGAAGAAATTTGCCCTGATAACTCAATCTTGAGATTTGATTTTTTATACAATTAAATTGAGGTCAATGGTGGATGTGTTGGTTGCTAAAATGCATTGAGGAGGACAAATGTTTTCAATTTCACTGAAGATTTTTTTGCTTCAATGGAATGTTCTCAATTACAGCCTGCATTCACAAATAGAGTTGTAAAATTATGTGTTCATATTTTATGTTTTTATTAATTTAGCTACTTGACTATTTTCTCTAGTGATTAAACTATTAGGACATAAAACAAATAGTATTGATTTTTTTTAAAAGATCATACCTCTATAACCATATCTACATCTTTGAATTGTGAGTAATCCAATACCCCACTAACCAATGAACTTGTACCAATCCATTAATATTTCCAGAAAAAGTCATAAAATATATAACCAATAAGTCACATAATAAATTGGCTACAAAATTGTCCTGTAACCTAACAGCACAAAAAGAAAAGAAACCATGTTAAAGAGATGAACTTTCATTCTATTTCTAGTTTTTCTACCAAAATCACTCAATGAAATCAGTGCCTACCATCAAGATTTGCATTTCCAGCGATTTGAAGTGCATCTGAGTTGGCCAGGTCAACATTTGCGGGTGTGACAGGTAGGATTAAACAGCTTGGAAGCCTAATGTATGACATTATCATTGTCCTAATATGAGCTTCCATGTTTGATGGCTAATCTACAATAGGAACTTTTGTTGTACCAGGTAAATCCACAAGGTTAATGTCAAGTAAATTAGGTGAAAAAATCTTTAAACAAATTTGTTTATCAGAGACGCCCTTGTTTCCTCCTGCTTCCCTATTTGTCTTAGCCTACAGTATTCAGACACCCAACTAAGGTGTTAGTAATAAGACTTTGTGTTGGTTGACATAAAATAAATTTCATAGAGGCTTAAAGAATCAACACTTATCAGAGCTCTAACATTTTTTCCTCTTAATGAATCCTTATACACAAACATACAATTGATTCAGATAAGCTATACCAAAGACACTCTCTCTAGCCCTGAATAATCTAATCACCTAGCTGATGTGCAACTTATAAGTATATACAAAAATTACGTGAACATGAGAGGATATAGATGCATTGCTGGTCTGAAAGACAAAGACTCGTTTTTCTAGGTTTAACAGGCAGTTAGACAAATTCTGTATCATTATCCATATCAATTAAAATGTCACGTTCTTTAAGCTCCAGTAAAATACACTCATGGTTCTATCAGACATGTAGTTTTGAGTTTTCTGAAGTCGACGAATTTAGGCGGTGTGTTATTAATCTTGGTAGGTAGAAAACACTGCTTTTGGTCTAAGTATTCAAAGCCCTTTATTTCAAAGACAAAAGATCTCAAATATACATGATAAGGTTTCTCACAAAGTGTGATCTTATGCTTGTTTTCTATATATAATCCAAATAAACACAACCATTAATTTAACCAAAAGAAACTCAACACAATTTAGATATCATGATTTATTACTTACCCCTTTTTTGTTGTAAGGACGAGGTGCTAATTCCTTCTTGGTGACAACATGCCCTTTGTTTAGACCCACAAAGAGTCCTGCGTTTGGCTGTTTTGGAGCCATTGGAACCTAAAAACATGAACATATATTAGCGAAAAGCAACATACACTTCACAACAGATCATCAACTTAGCCTATGCAGTTTTGATTCAATATGACCTGAAAACCTTACAAGCCTCAAACTACAATCAAAATGCGCAATATATATTCTTATTAAACATGAAGCTTATTACAAGATATAAATGAGTTTATGCGTGCCAATAATTTCTTAAACACCAGCAGGCTTATAAGCACATGGAAAGCATCTCGGAACTATAAGAAGATGCGGGAAAACTAAAAGTACAAAGAGGGCAGAAAAACAACCTGGGCAAGAAGAATTTGAGACCAAGTAAACTTTAGTTGCTGTACATCGTACTTGCTTCATGAAAGAGGCCCCCAAATATCTTGCCTTAATTGTTGTACATTCGGAGACTGGGATACATTCAGGAACAACATCTCCTCGTTCATGTTATTCATCGCATCCTCCAACCGTCATCCTTCACCACCTCCTCCGATTTTCATGGACCCGATCCACTACTCTAGCCTCCGAGCGGAACCCTCAAGTCGATCAAACCTCGGTGGTCTGGTATATCTCGTGATGTACATCAACGAGGATGTGAGCCTGAAGTGGGCCCTCAATTCTTAACTCCACATCGGAGTACTTGATCTGAGATACGAGTTGGTTGCATTATTCCTTTAGGATAAACAAAAGGGATTCAGTAGTAATGGAGGCGGATTAGAGTTTATAGAGAAAAGGAGAAAGAGAGAGTGAATGTTCTCAGCTGGTGGAGAGGATGAATTCGTTATTCCTTCCCAAACAGCAACAAATCATTCAAAACAAGAAAAAGATATGTGAAGAAATGAAAATTAAATTGATTACATGTGTCTCTAATGCAAAAGTTTCAAAGGTGATGACGAGATGCAATTGGGAAGCTAATGGAGCAAAGTTACAGTTCTTCGTCTATGTGTTTTTTGATTTATTTGTGGAGAATCTGAAACAAACGAGAATCAAGATTCACACTCCTAATATTGAGACTTGAGAATATAATTAGCGCTTTTTCTAACAATTTCAACAACGAGTGGGAGATATGGTGGTTCTAGTGGGTAGAAGTAAGTGGGGGAAGAAGTAGGCGGCAGTAAGGAAGGAGCGTTCATAATTTGGGCAAGAGGGAAAGGAGAAAAAAAGGAAGGCGGGGTTTTTAATTTTTTCAGAATTTCATTTCCCCCTTTCCCCAACTATGGAACGCACGTTCCATTAAAAAAATATAAAGCGACATCCTTAGACGACGCGCATTTTATTATAGGTGCCCTCCGTGTTTTTTTAAACACTAATTTAAGGGCACGCCGTGTCTTCTATCCTTAAATTTTGTTGAAGAGATAACATTTTTTTAATGTCACTCTCCTTTGCGTAACATAAATCAACGAGTGTCGTGGTTTGCGCGTCGTAAAAGGGTCTTTTTCTTGTAGTGCATGTGAACGGATGTTGTTCTGAACACTTGAGGATCACCCCCCGCTTCATAAATCTTCTTTGAACTTCAAAATTTTGAATACACAATAAAAAACTAATAAATAAAGTTGTATTTTGTTAGGTGCAATTTGTGCACCTTTTTGCACATATTTTAGTTCCTTCTTATGAATCTATTTAGCATAATTGTTCTTCATTTGTCTTGCATTTCATCATATTTCATGTTAATCTCTAGAACAACCTTATTTGCACACTTTCATGTCTTTTTCAGGTAAACAGGAGGTTGGAACGCGCTTTCAGAGGTGCCGGGAAGCATTGGTGAGGATTTCGGGAGGATCGGGCGAAGAACGAAAAAGTTGAAAAAAATCAATTTTGGAATCGGAGTGAGAGGGGTACACGGGTCGTGTTGGATTTACACTGCGAAGGAACACATGCTGTGTTGACCAGAAAAGAAGAAGTTGTTGCCATGCTGAACATGAGCCATGTTATTTTTACCTTATGCTTTACACGGGTCGTGTTCGACCCAAAAACCAACTTTTGGCAGTTTTTCCTTTATTTCATATTACGGGGTGAGGGTCATTTTGACAAAAATACAACATATCAGAGCACATTTTGTTAGGGGATTTCGAAGGTTTTTGCAAGGGTTTGATCAGTAATCATTTGGAAACATTATTTCTAGTATATGTAAGTTGCAATTGCACATTACTTCCATCTTTTAGACTTGTGATCTCGTTCTAGCCATGTGTGGCTAGAACCCGAGTTTCTCCAATTTCATGTTTTGACTTCTTGGTAGTGATTTCAATCATATGACATGATGTTTGTTTTTAATTTCTATCTAGTGAATTTGATTTTTCTTTAATCAAATGTTTGATTCTAATTGTGATTCTTATTGGCCATTTGAATTAGGATTATGTCATTCAAATTATCTCTTTTACAAAATCCGTAATTGTTTTGTGAAATTGAACAAGTAACAAATGTTAAATTTATCTCTATTAAATGAATTTATTGTAAATCTTATTCATACGCTCTTACACTCCTGAGCTTATGAGGAGTATTGGGTGTTGTTAGGAACACTCACATAAAGATTCATGCAATCTTTTAATCTAATGCTAAGAGTTTGTTTAGATAAGGTTAGTAAGGTTAGGGTTAATCAAAGAGCTTGTTTTAGTTAATTAACGTATGGGATGAGCCTTGCCTTTGGAAGTATTGTGCAGATCAAATGATCCGAAGGTGTGTTGAGCAAAAAGAGGTATAATCCATCATTAATTTTTGTCATTCCTATGCTTGTGGA